CCCTGTCTAGGCTTGGGCAACCTGGCAGTATCCCAGCCCTCGTGCTTCCTTCAGGTGGCATGGCAGCTAGGCACCGGAAGGGTGCTACAGCTGAACGCTTTTTTTTGGTTCTTCCAGCAGTTGTGCTGAAGGAGACCAGTTGAACTGTTCTTGGAAGTGCTCCACCCACCGCTCAAGACAGCAATTGAGGAAGTAAATTACTGTTCCGTCCTCTTCGCGTGTTGTCTCACTGACACCTGCCTTCTTTTGACCCGTTGATCGGATTAGTGGAAGCAGAGCGCGGCTGTTTCCTGCTGTTTTCCATCTCCCGAGCTTTCGAAATCAACCAGCGTTCTGTCATTGTTCAAGCTCCTGATAGTTGCGTGTCTAAGGGATCTGCGTGCGTCATCATAGTCGCTAGTTGCTGGTACGACCTTTCCGGCAGAAATAAGATCTGCTGATCTCGAAGATATCTAGTATTCACTGAGTCGAGTCAGATGGGCTGGACAAACAGTTCTGAAAGCTGACAACATTGCTTCTTTTACTCGCCTCCACTCATCCTCCAAGAAATCTTCGTCATCCACATGACCCTGCTTTCCCAGTAGCTTTCTAGCCAGATCAGCTCGATACTCTTCAGCTACTGAAACTTGTCGAAGTTGATGAACAGAGCTGCTCTCTTTCAGCACGTGTAGTGCTGAGCGGGCCCGCACGATAGTGTGGTCAGCGTCAAACTGCGTACCCCAGAAGGAACGGCGATCCTTAATTGAGGCTCTCCATCGGCAACTGATAGCCACATGGTCCAACTGAGCCCACGACTGTCTCGTAGTACGTGGCCTTGAAGTAACTCGGTGTGTGTGTTTGTGTTGGAAGTTCGCACTGGCCAGAAACAGAGGATGATCTGCACAACTGAAGGAGCCGCTCTCAGTTATCCGTACGCTCAGCATCGACTGCAAATCGACCACCTAACTGTGCTTCCTCCGGACTTAGTCGTCCAACCTGACCGCTCATATCACCGGCCAGGGTTACTATATCCCTCCTTGCCGGCCGAAGCAGTCGTGAAAGATCTTAATAAAATTCGTCTTCAGTCTCAAAACTGCTATCTGTTGGGGCGTATGCTGATACGACCAACAAGCACAGTTTGCCACATCGACCTGCGTTAACCTTACTTGAACGAAACAGCCGCACAGCGCAAAGGCGACTGTTTACTGGGATCCAGTCCTGTAAGCTTCTTTCAGCCTTGGGACTGAGTGCAACTCCCACAGATTAGATACCACGAGCCATTGGCAAGAGTGGTTGAATATAGGCCTGCATAGCGTTCTCTGCAAACCTCAGATACCATTGTTGGGTCATTCGTGGGTTCTCCGTTCTTGTCCCTCAAGGAGAACACAGATGGCTAGTTTCTGCGGTCTTATGTATTTGAAAAGTCCACTTCTGTTTGTCCGAGCGAGGTCCGGAAGGGTGGCTTGTCTTCGTATTTTCCATTGGCGGATTTCTGATTTACAGCAGTTCCGCACTTTACGAAATGCCGGCTCATCTTCTGTATCTCATGCGGTTAACATTTTGAAAAAAATGGGACCTCTTTTCCAGAAGCCGCCGAATCCTTTTAGGCAGCCTG